GTGCTTGTTGTCTGCCCTCGGGGGCTGCTGGTCCGGATGCTGGTGATACTTCTCCACCTCCTCGGCCTCAGCATATCGGTCCCCCCGCTGCAAGGCCCTTATGTAGTCGTGGGGGGGTTCAATGATGAGACTCCTTGAAAAGTTGCCGGTGCGGAGGACGGTTTGTAGGAGGGCCAGGAGGGTCCCGTCATCAGCACCGTCGACCTTGTCGGCCTCCGTCCTCCAGCGCTCCAGGAAATCCCGAAGGGTCTCATCCTTCTTCTGGCGTATCGTTAGGAGGTGGGAGAAGTGCTTCCTTGTGCGACGCCTCCCGGCAAATTGTGTTAAGAACCGCTGGGCGAGTTCTTGCCATGAATCAATACAGCCCTCGGGCAGCCTGTTGAACCATTCGTATGCTGGTCCCTCTAAGGTGGAGAGGAACCATCGACACAAATATTCGTCTGATGCCCCCACCATCATCATGCTGTTCTGGTATTTGCTGTAGTGCTCCTGGGGGTCCGTTTTCCCGCTGTAGGGCTGTATGTGTTGCCCTCGGTACTTCTCCGGGATCCGGGCCGCCAATACCCTTTGGGTAAATGGCGTCCGAGTCCGGAGCTGGATGACGGGTTCCCCGGAGCCCTCGGCCACCTTCTTCTGTAACTCCTCCATCTTGGCCATCATGGCCTCGTATTTGAGATCTGAGTGAGGGGTGGAGGTAGTGGCGTGAGCTTTGTTGGACTCCATCTCGTCAAGCCGGCGTTGGAGGGCCGCAATAATCTCGTCCCGGGGGTCCTTCGGGAGGGTCTCCGCCCCCTGCGAACGAACCCGGGCCGAGTGGGCCTGATTGATTTGATGCCGGGCATCATCGGCATGAAGGTGTGCCTTGCCTTTGTCCCGAGGGGGACGCTCCTCGTCTGCCCTCGAAACAGATCCCCCGCTTTCCTGGGGCCTTTGGAGTGCTTTCCCCCCTCGGCGGTCTTGGACCCCTCGGCGGTCTGGCCCTCCTCCGAGCCGGTTGAGGGCGGAAGTACGGGGCCTCTCCCTGCTGTCATTATGGCGGTCCCGGGACTGAACTTCCTGGGAGGATGTTTCTTGGGCCACCACCCCCTCGCCGTTCCTTACCCGAGGGGTGGGATTTCCGAAGGGGTGTGGCAGAGGGGGAAGTATGATGTTTTCCCCGATAGGAGGGTGAGCTGGAGCCAGGGTGCTGAAGGCACCCGGGTTCTGGGTGAGCGTCTGGATGAAGGCGGAGAGCGCCGATTGTACGTCGATGGTGAGAACCGGAGGGCTGACTTGGTCATCGCTCCGGTTTCTCTTCTTGGCCTCGATGCCGAGGCGGGCATCGGGGGCGTTTTGTTGGATCTGAAGGCGTAGGTCGACAGCCGCCTGTTCCAGCCCAGCGAGGACACCGCCCTCGGGAGCCCTGTGAGAGGCTTCGGGGGCGTTGACGTCGCCGAGGGGCAGGTTCTTGTCTTCTACGTTCTTTGAGTTGGCACGTGTTGTCCTCACCATTTTGATAGAGGGTTAGTGTTGTGTTTGGTCGAGGGGGAGGGTTTCTTACTCGATTGTTCAACCTCTCAACGAGAGCACCAAATGATGGATAGTCTACCCGGGGGTATATATCCGAAGGGTTATTACGGGGAATAATTTAGAGAGAAGTCAGAGCAGGTAAACGTAGAGAGAGAGAGAGTATTATAAATGTGGAGTGTTTTCAGCGTGTTCCGACTTGGTTACAAATGGGGAAAAGGGGGGCTATTTATAGTAGCAATAAATGCCGGGCAGGGACACGTGTCAAGCGCTCATTGGCCGAGGGGTCGCCTCAACTGGTTGGCGCTGGCAGCCGCATGTGGCCGCATTTAATGCGGCTGTTGGATGGGACGTCTGTGCAGAGTACGGTGATCTGTACGCATGTGAGGTGGATATCTTATCGAGTGAGATGCCTTCGGCCATAGAGCAGTAGCTGAAGGCTCCCCCAACCGAGGGCACCTTGGCGCCGAGGGCTCACAGTACCGAGGGCTACTGTTTTCGCCATTTTCTCCCAGTTTCTTAGTTTGCTTGAGAAACCCGTTCTGTGAGAGCTTTAGACCCTTCGGCCAGGGGGCCGAAGGCACCCCTGGCGCGTAGTGCGGGCTGCTTGGTACTCTGGGCGTTGTGATTTGGGCCTGTTAGGCCTGTTGGGCCTTCGATGGAGTAGTAGGAGTCTGTGGGCCGGGGGTTCCCGGGCCATATACTCCATCAGGCACCTTGTTGGGTGCGCGCGCGGGCCTCATGGGTCGCGTTGATCTGGTGGCGCGCATTGTCCCCGTGCAACTTTCCATTGCCTTTGTCCAGGCGGGGCCGATCCGCTGTCCGGGATACGGACCCCAAGCTTTCCCTCGATGAGCTAGGATCATGTTTATCAATCCGCCCTGCCATCCTCTCCGAAGCAGGCCGACGATGCGTGTCACCTAGCCTATTGAAGGCTGAAGCTTTTCCACGCACTGGGGTCGGTCCAGCTCGAACCGGGGAAGCAGGGTGGGAGTGGGATAACTACGTGTCCTGGGGCACCACTCCTTTGGCATTGCCTATCTTGATGGCCAACGGCTGGGGCTGATCGAGGAGGTGGCGTAGTGTTCTCCCCAGTCCTTGGCATGAGTGCACTAAGGACGTTGGGGTTCTGGGCCAGGCTGGTGATGATGGCCGAGAGTGCGGCATGGAGTTCAGGGTCAACGGCAGGAGAAGCCGGTTGCCCCAAAGCATTGTCTCCCTTCTCTAGGCGCTTCTTGTCCAGGCCGATGCGAGCGTCGGGAGTGCCGCCGTTGAGCTGGTGGCGAAGATCATTCGTGAGGTCGATGGCTTCCTGGAAAACATCTCTGCTCGCGGCCTTGTCGACCGTGGCGTCCTCCTCGTGTTCCCTGTTCTGTTGGGCATCTAGGTTCACCTTGCCGAGGAGGTTACGGTTTGACCTTGTTCTTCCCATTTTCAGTTAGCTGTGCTTGGTAGCGACGAATGATGCTAACTTGATTGTTCTAGCTCTCAACGAGAGCACCAAATGATACAGTAATTGTCTAGAGAGAAGTGAGAGCTAGAGAGAGAAGTGCAGTAAATGCTTGCTATTAATGATTTGTGAACCCTCCACAACTACTCCCAAGGGGAGTATTTATTGAGAAAATGCGGGCTGGGCTCCCAAGCCTTGGGCATGAGAGGCCCATTTACAATTGGACCACTACTGGGCCGATTACAAAATATGTAGAAATGGTTAAGTATGAAATCCGGTTCTGGGAGCTCTTTGTGGCCGATAAGGGTCTGGCTGACGGAGCCACGACCGACGGAGACCTGGCCGACGGGGACATCCGGTTCTCCTGACTTCTGGACCATGTTCTGAGTTGATATCTTTCTGGCCGATGAAGGGTCATCTGGCCGACGGAGGCCCCACTGAGTGACAGTTGTGCCTCTTGTTCTTCTGAGTATGTGGGTCCTGGGGTCTAGACCCAGGACCCACATATGGAAACTTAGTAGTAGTCCAACATTAAAATGTCCTAAATCTAACGTCTAGTCCTCTCTCTACCTCATGTTTTAGTATATAAGATATTTTTATCAATTCAAGATCAAGATATATGTCCATTATCAATAAGGGACCTTAAAGATGAAGTGTGTCAATATAGGGTACGAATGATTGAAAACTTTCTAGCTAATACCTAAAATTCCATGAATTTTAATACTCCCTCCGTCCCAATTTACTTAGCCATCTTTGACTTTTCCAGTCAAAGATGGTAAACTTTGACCAATTATTTAAACTAATATATTTATGAAAAATTTAATAATTTTATACTTTTATGATAGTATTTTTAACAAAGAACATTTTCATATCATTTTCATATTATTAATACTTTCTCTATATAAACATATAATCGATCAAAGTTAGACTCCATTAACTTGAAAAGTCAAGATTGGCTAAGTAAAATGGGATGGAGGGAGTAGTTTTTATTTTTTTTAAAAATATTTAAATACTATTAATCTTGCAAGATAAAGTGTACCTTATTTCAGCTATGACCGTTACTAGTCGTGCAAATTTACTCTCTTGCAATTTCGGTTTTGTAACGAATATTTCGTTGCAATTTTAGAACTTGTCCACGTGAAAGTACACTTTAATTACGACCGAAAATTCGATGTTGGCTACATATTTTTTGATACTTTTTTCCCATCCTATTTTAGAATTATATACTTGGCTTATATTCCGACCTCTCCTGTAGTCAAGTGTCGCTCTGCCCAGTGGCGGATCCAATGCTATTCAAGAGTGTTCACTTCCACAGCTAGAATTTTCAAAAAACAGTACCCATAATGATGTCATTTGGCATAATTTGGCAAAAATCTGTATCGTTTTTAAGTTAGAGCTCATATTATTCTGTCCTCTGCTAGAAATAATATAATTGCTCAAATACTAGTGCCTTGGTGCGTACTAGAGTGCTGCTGGCCTGCTGCTCTTTTAGGATATTGCCTATTTCAAAATTTGGAACAAATATACTACTTCGTACTTTCCTTATTCCTAATGTCTATGGTCAAGTGTAAAAATTGAATGATAATTTACTAATTTAGTAATAGTAATTTCATTGAAAAAGATAAGTGTATAATTTGTTGAACATTTAGTAGTTTTTTTATAGGAATGACAAAAGTGCATAAACTAATACGTAGTACTTCATACTATCATTTGAAATTGTAATTTTAATGTGATTTTGAACACCCAAAATATAAGTGATAGATCTGCCGCTGGCTCTGCCCCTCATAAAACTCCTAGTATATATGAGGAAGTGATTCAACGCACCTGGTTGTCGACTTACTCTCCCTTACGAGAGGTCTAGCCACCAACCTCCCTCTCCCAAACGTCCACCGGAGTAAAAAAAACTCCTATCCTAGTATGTACGGAGTATATATACGTAGTACTATGATAAGATACAACCTCCAAGGCTCCACGTACAGTTCTACAACAAAACCCAGCTAAAGAAATGCAATTAGTTGGCTCTATATATATCATGCCGTTTAATAATCACCTCACGTAGAAAAGGAAAGCATACAAAAGAAATATTTAAATCATGAATAGTTATTATGGTACTATAGCGGAGAGGTGGGAGGTCCTAAGCGGTGGCACAAACTGGCAGGGACTAATAGACCCTCTTGACCTTGAACTTCGAAAATACCTAATTCACTATGGGGAGATGGCCCAAGCCACCTACGACACCTTCAACGCCGATCTGTTCTCCAAGCTCGCCGGCAGCAGCCGCTACTCAGAGGCCCATCTCTTCTCCAAGGTTGGACTCGAAAAGGGTAACCCGTACAAGTACGAGGTTACCAAGTATTTATACGCCACATCCTCTCATCCTGTCCCAGATGCCTTCATCGTCAAGTCTATTCGGCTTGACGCTTGGAGCAGGGAGTCGAACTGGATGGGGTATGTGGCGGTGGCGACCGACGATGGGAAGTTGGAGCTGGGGAGGAGGGACATAGTTGTGTGTTGGAGAGGGACGGTTCGAACGTTGGAGTGGGTTAATGATTTTGATATGTCGTTAGTGCATGCACCGAAGATCTTTGGTGATGGCGGTGATCAGCCTATGGTTCATAGAGGGTTTTACTCCATTTACACTTCAAAAAATCCAGCTTTTCCTTTTAATGTCACTAGCGCAAGAGATCAGGTATATTTTGTTCATATACTCCATCATCCCTCAATTGTCTCATTTTATCATTTTTGGATGTGTCCTACACATTTGTGTGATTCTAATTCTTTCTTACTTTATTCCCGCTTTATCAAACACATAATTCTATTTTTCTTAAAAACCACATCACTCCTTTCCGTCTCAATATTACTATATTAGGGGAACGGAGGTAGTATAATTTATGAGTTTGACACTCATTCCCTCCCAAATATATTATAAGGTCAAACTCAGTTGATGTTTGGTCATGATTATTCGAAATCATATTATTATGGGGAGTATATATATATATATATATATATATATATATATATATATATATATATATATATATATATATATATATTTAATTGAGTGAGTAGCAATTTCTGATCCAGATCTGTAAAGCAACTCCTTCTTCTCCCTCCTTCCTCCTTCTCATCTTCTGTTTGGTCGTTGATTCATGCTCATCTTTTGTTTGGTCGTAAAGCAACGAAGGGAGTGAGTAGCAATGTCCATCTTCTTCTTTGGTTGTTCAAATTGCCAAATTTTCTCTCAAAATACCATCAAAATGGCATTTTTACTCATCAAAAAATTCATATTTTTCTTTAAAAATGCCATTAATATGACATTCTAGAGTCAGGTTGGCATTCTGCTAAATTTATTGGCCACATCAACAATGGCGGTTGGAACTGCAGTAGCAGTGGGCGGATTTGCAGTCGGTGGCGGCCAACTCTGGTTAGATCTACGGCGGTGGTGGCCGGATCTGCAACAACAGCGGCCGGATCTGCATGGACGGCTACTTTTGAGGATGTGGCAGCGGTTTTTTGGCGGCCGGCGGCCGGCGGTGGCCGTTCCGGCGGTCTGTATGTGACGATATGTTGTGTCCAGGTTCAGGGGTGTTTTTGTCTAACTTCAAATAAATACTCCTATTTGAGGAATTTTTGAACATTAGTCCTATTTTGACAATTAAGACTTTAATTACTCCTATTTGGGTAAATCTCCTTATAAAATTTGTAATTTGTATACGTAAAAGCTATACATCATCATCGTCATCATTACTCCAGTGCCGCAAAGGCTGCCTCCTATCGTTCAATTATTATTTCACTTATTTTATATCTAAAAATTAGATTCATCATAATCATATGCATCATCATTATCATCATCATCATCACGATGATGATCCTTTTCAACATCCACAGTGTCTAACGGTCGGGTACCTTCTCGGCTGCCTCCTCGGTTGCCTCCTCGGTTGCTTCCTCGGTTGCTTCGTCGACTGCCTCCTCGGCTGCCTCCACCGGATGACTGAAAGTGATTGAGAATATCAGACGACAGAGATCCGAATGTCGACCCCATTGCAGGCATGGCACCATATCCGGAGTTAGAGTGATAACCCATAAGACCCATGTGCGGAACCTGAGGAGTCTGCTCAACGTGCAACATGTACGGCCGAGGAAGAGGCTGAGGCGAAGGCTAATATCCGGCAACGATCCGTTCCATTGCTTCCAGCCGGGCCCTTGTTTCTTCATTATTCTTCCGTTGTTGTACGAATGCCCGCTGCTGCTCCTTCAATTCTCGCTGCAATTGGGCGATGCGTGGATCCTCTCCCCGCCTAGATCGAGGAGATGATGAAGCTCCGCTGCCGCTGCGATCGTACAAAATACGTTGCCCCTCAGCCCCAAGGCACGGAAGCCGACCCTTGTACACCCCAGCTGCCTCAAGGATCACATCATCTTCCACATCAGAATCAATGTCATCTTCTTGCATCAAGCCTAGTTCCGCCCGCTTCTTCTCAACATTTGCGTTATACTTTGTCTACAAGCATGTACAAAAATTATTGAAATGATATTTACTTCGATTTGAAATAATAAAATTGATGTTACGTACTTCGATTTCAGCAAGGCGGGGTGGCTGATTGGCTTCCGACTCATCACCGTGCGGAGTCCAACAATGTTTGATGACCTTGAGGATAGAAACTCTCTTCTTTTGAGGCCCCGCCTACAAGGTTCGAAAAAGTTTTAAATAAATGTAAAAAAATAAAGGGTTAAAATGGTGTAAGGTTTATTTGAATAAGACTTACAAGAGCTTCTTTATGTTTACTCTGAGGTTTGCGGCCTCCGTGCCATTGTGTCGTCAATGCCTTCTCGGACATCTGATTTTTCTTCCCGGCTTCGCTTCTAGCCAAGAAAGTCGGATCCGAGGACCAGTGGCGGACAAGGTTTTCCTATACCTCATCCAAACACCATTGAGGCCTTACCCCACTGGTTCGGGCACACTTAAAAGTGGGACGAAGCCAATTTGAAACTCTGGCATTGTACGCCCTTAGAATAGCGGGGCCTTGTTCTTCAGTCCAGCGAAACCGGGCCTTTTTTTAAAAAATAAATTAATTTATCATTTGTCAAATTTTAGGTTACAACAATAACGGAAAATTCATTTTTTTTACCTTGAACAGGTTCCACCAAAGTTCACGGACCTTGGGGTCAACATCCGTGTAAGTTCAATAACAGGTTCCACCAAATTAATTTATTACGTTACTTTTTTATGTGTACGAAAATTTATATATTAAATTTCACTAAAATTCCATTAAAATTAACTAATTCCCTAAAATTAACTAATTCCCTTAAATTTCACTAAATTTCACTAAAATTCCCTTAAAATTAACTAATTCCCTAAAATTCCCTTAAAATTAACTAATTCCCTTAAATTTCACTAAAATTCACTAAAATTCCCTTAAAATTAACTAATTCCCTAAAATTAACTAATTCCCTTAAATTTCACTAAATTTCACTAAAATTCTCTTAAAATTAACTAATTCCCTAAAATTCCCTTAAAATTAACTAATTCCCTAAAATTCCCTTAAAATTAACTAATTCCCTTAAAATTAACTAATTTCCTTAACTTTCACTAAATTTCACTAAAATTCCCTTAAAATTAACTAATTCCCTAAAATTCCCTTAAAATTAACTAATTCCCTTAAAAATAACTAATTTCCTTAAATTTCACTAAAATTCACTAAAATTCCCTTAAAATTAACTAACATCCAATAATTAATATTATTAAACTATAAACATGCACAATCGTTAATGGCATTTAATCCAAAATACTAAAATTAACTAATTCCCTAAAATTAACTAATTCCCTTAAATTTCACTAAATTTCACTAAAATTTCCTTAAAATTAACTAATTCCCTAAAATTCCCTTAAAATTAACTAATTCCCTTAAAATTAACTAATTCCCTTAAAATTAACTAACGTCCAATAATTAATATTATTAAACTATAAACATGCACAATACGTTAATGGCATTTAATCCAAAATACTAAAATTAACTAATTCCCTAAAATTAACTAATTCCCTTAAATTTCACTAAATTTCACTAAAATTTCCTTAAAATTAACTAATTCCCTAAAATTCCCTTAAAATTAACTAATTCCCTTAAAATTAACTAATTTCCTTAAATTTCACTAAATTTCACTAAAATTCCCTTAAAATTAACTAATTCCCTAAAATTCCCTTAAAATTAACTAATTCCCTTAAAATTAACTAACGTCCAATAATTAATATTATTAAACTATAAACATGCACAATACGTTAATGGCATTTAATCCACAGTACTAAAATTATAAACATCTTAATCTTATTAATAATGCACATTTAACAATTTACTAAATTAAATAATATGATCAAATCCAATAATTTGAGCATATATATATATAATAAACTCATTTAAATTAAATAATACTTAAATTTAACTAATATTATAATTTTTTTTACTAATTTACGTAATTCACAATCATAAATCATCATACTTAATTAAGTAATGTTTCAATTAACTAATCCTAATTCAAATCATCATTAATCCTAAATTAGGCTTCCTTAACAATAATTGCTAATAAAGAAATCATATACTTATATTTAATCATATATAAAGTCATTTGAATTAAATAATACTTACATTTAACTAATATTAATAATATCATCTACATGTATTTAACTAATTTACGTAATTTTAATTAAATACAACTTAATTAACCCTATGTTTAAATTACACCTACGTTTAACGTAACTAAATTTAAGGAATTTATTTCGTTAATTAATTAAGTATTTTATTTAATTACTTAATGCATTTAAATGCATTTAATTTAGATTTAACTAATAATATTAACAAAAGTTTAATTAACCAATGTAGCTAATTAATTAATTTAACCAATGTAGCTAAAATGAACCAACTAATTCATACAAAAAATATGTAATTAAAATTACATACCTTATCTGCATAAACAGGAAAAATGATATGAGATGGGTAGATTACATCCTTCAATTCTATCTGGAATTCTATCTGGAGTAGATGGTGTGATTTTGTTGAATGAAGCGGAGGCCGCATACATAAAACTTTTTGTCACGGACGTAGTCACGGATGTGTCCGTGACTACATATTTTTGTACGATTTGTCGGTGCACTTTAAATTTGGAACGTTGTAAAAATTAATTTTGCACTTGTCACGGAATTAGTCACGGAACCGTCCGTGTGACTAATTTCAAATTTAAAATAAACCCCGCCAGAGGCAAAATTGGGTTGGCCAGAACACCTTAAAATCTAACCGTAGTCACGGACAAATCCGTGACTATTTTTTTTAAACGATCCGTGACAAAACCGTGATTACAACCGTGACTAACTAGTCACGGACCAAATCCGTGACTACAAGCGATTTTTTTTGTAGTGCGTATGTTTGGGAAATCACACTTTTAGTCCATGAAATTGTCACCATATTGAAATGTCAGATCTGTATTTCTGAGTTTGTAAATGTCACCCCTCAATTATCCAAATTGATGTAACGTGGTCCTTTTGAGGGGTAAAATGTATAATGTGGGCGAGGAATACATTTCACTTCTCAAATAACCATAATTGCACCAATTTGGACAATTGAGGGGTGACATTTAAAATCTCAGAAATACAGGTCTGACATTTCAATATGGTGAATATTTCAAGGACCTAAAAGTGCGATTTCTCGATCTGATATTATCTGATGATATGCTCTTTTCTTGTTTTAATCTGTTTGTATAAATGTTGTCTAGTCTCATGTGAGATTGAAATTAATCCAATTTTAAACTGAGTCATCATGACTGTAGGTTTTTTTGGGCAAAATGGTTCAAGATGTCTAATGTCGTTCTACACTTCTATGTGTTGGGTAACAAAATTCATTTTATAGTAACAAAATGAAGACGTAGGACAAATAGAAACAATTACATATTTATGATAAAATTAAAGATTGTTTATAAAAATGTTATTAGCAAGTAGAACAGTTATAGAATCATAGAATAATCAGTGTTTGTTGTTTAATTCTTGTAACATTGTGATTTTTACACTATTCACAGATCTTACTTTGATCACGATTTTCTACTAATATACATAATCAAATTATTATGTATAAAATGTTATTGAATTCCAATCAATGTGAATTTCCAAAATATCAACCTTTTATAATATTTACTAATACATAATTAAATATAATTACAGTCAAAATTGTGTATTGGTAAACGTGAAAGTCAAACTGTTGCAAGAATTAAAGAACGGAGGATAGTACTTTGTACATGCTTTAAATTAAATCCAATGGGGGTACGTACTGGCGGTCATAGCTCAACTGGTAGATAGGTGGTGCCACAAAGGGTAAGTCTCGGGTTCGAATCCCCGCAACTGCGATGAGAGGTTGTTATGCTAAAATGCATAGAGTCTCTGCAAGTATCAGAGCCAGAGCCTCACTCTCTACCTGTCAGCTTGTGATTAATGTCCAATTTAAATCCTCCCATCTAACTGTTCGGTCGATGTGGGGGCTCTCAGGGATGGGACTTCATCCTTTTTTTTTTATTAAATCCAATGGAGCAAGGACTAGAACTAGGACGGGTCATCCTTATTTTCCCTTTTATTACGAATTTCAGTCGTATACAATTTGTATGATAAATATGGCCTTATTTAACGGAGAAAAGACAAAAAAAATTAAAAATAATACAAGGCCAAATGTGATAAAGAAATCAAACTTGATGAAATTTAAAGTCTTTTCCTAAGAGAGGAAGAGCACAATACCCGAGGACTCTATCACCTCGTTTTTAAGCTAAAACATTGTTTCATTTCTATTGGTTTTCGTATTATAGTACTCGCGTGATATTTCTCCTTTCATATTACTTCGTATTTAAATTAGTCCTCCGTATTTGATGATTAAACCGACATAATATAAAAAAGACTCAAAGTGATTGTCCTATACCCTTGAGTGAAAAAATTCTAGGCGATCCTATTACATGAATAGCTTTGGTACACCTATTGCTACCACCGGTCCGAAAATGTTCATCATATTGACTTTTCTTAGTTAATAATGTCAAACCTTGGACAACAATTTGAATTATTACATTTACATATAATTTATAAATTTATACTTTTATGAAAATATTTTGATTAAAGAACATTTTGATAAATTTCTCATATTCAAAATAATTTCATATTAAAAAATATCATTGATCAAAGTTGATTGTCGTTGAACAAGAAAAGTTAATTTGGCGAACCTTTTCGGGACAGAGGGAGTACAATTTTCATTGCCTAATAACCTACTTTGTCTCAAAATAATGAATAACCTGTGACGCTAAAAGATGTTGCCAATACATTTAAAATTACAAATGTAACCCAAGTCAATTCACGAGATTTTTTTAAACACATCTGTAAGATACACATGAAAAATATGCAGAATCATCATCAATATCATCATACTTGCTGACCATCGATAAACTGATAGGATTAACCAATCAAAGTTCACTCCAATCAGTATGTATGTATTGAATAAAAGTACTTTTTATTTGAGTGAGATTCGCAATTTTAGTCATGTAACTTTTGGTTGTTATCGTTATTGATACTATAACTTTAATCACTCGCAAATTTGACTCAGTAATTTATAATTTTTTTACAATTTAAGGACTTTTCCACCAGAAACTACACTTTCCGTCATAAAAATTCGACGTTGGCGACATCGTCTCTTGTATATTGTCGCTAGAATGCGTACTTTTCAGGGGAAGTTCTAACTTGCAAATATTAATTAGTTACAGGACCAAATTTGCAAGTGACTAAAATTGTGGGACTAATAATGAAAACGGGCGTAAGTTATGGAACCAAAATTGTAAATTTCCCTTTATTGATAACAAAGAGTCGATAAGTTTTTATTTAAGGGAGTTAGTGATATCTGGATCAGGTCTTGAGTGAAGTGAAGAGATTGGTAGAACTATACAGGAATGAAAAGGTGAGCATAACCATTTGCGGGCATAGCCTAGGAGCATCACTTGCAACCCTAAACGCAATCGACATAATGAAAAACGTACTCAACGAAACAAGGACTGCCGGGAAAGCTTTTCCGGTGACGGTTTTCGCATTCGCTAGCCCTAGGATCGGCGACAGCAACTTAAGGAAGGCCTACGAGACGACTCCAAACCTACATCTCTTGCGTGCCCGTAATGTGCCCGATGTGGTCCCAGAAGTTCCTCCAGCGACTCCATTGACCGGTTACACGGACATCGGTGTTGAGCTGACGATCGATGTTACAAAGTCAAAGTTTGTGAGGCAGCCAGGGGAGTTATTCAGTTGGCATCTTCTGGAGCCTTACTTGCATGGAATTGCCGGAACAAAAGGGGTCAGGAGTGGGGATGGGTTTGAGCCGGTGGTCAATCGTGACTTTGCTTTGGTCAACAAACATTTAGACTATTTGAAAGAGAAATATGGCATTCCTGGGAAATGGTGGATTGAGAAGAATAAGGGAATGGTTCAGCAGAATGATGGATCTTGGAAATTTATGGATCATGAAGAAGGCTATATCCCAACACCACCACCATGACGTCGATCACTATATTACTTTAATTTAGTGACTCAATATATAAATCCTTTAGTAAATAACTTTTCTCTGTCAAATTAAAGTCCCTATAAGTACCATACTATATGAAATTGTTACTTCATTCTAATATATTGTTCTAAAATTGTTAGCTGCTTGAGTTAGTTACTTTGTACTTTCTTAACATCTTCTTATAATTCTGATGGCTTTAAATTGATGTCTTCATGAGATATGGCACTTAAAAGATCAGAACACTTAAATACGTTTTTATAAAAGGGATCCAAAAAACGTTGTGTAATCGGCTGTCACGAAAAAATTGGCTTAGAAATGAGAATCATGACATATCTTTGAAAAAGCCGTTGTGTAATGGAAAATAGTTTTGTGTATGCATTACATTAAATATATTCAAAATTTAAAATGATACATATGAGAAATTAAGAGAGACCATCGTTACTTGTCATTTATATTAGCATAAATAGATTTTTAGCGTAGATAGATCTGGATAATATATGAACTATACGCAGTTCCAGCACCAAATAGGATCCTGCACGGTATGTGAACTCATTTACATTTACGCAATATATATACACACACACACACACTATAATTCTATCATAGAGGGTTAGAGACCTATCTAGTTAATTAGGGTTGTTACGTTATGCATATGCCTTAGTTAATATATGTGGGTGCTCGTTCAAATAAAAATCATCTTCCGATGCAAAATATAAATGAATATGGAGCAGCCAACGACCTAAGATTTAAAGGCGAAAATGGTTGTCGCATTTTGAATAGTAATAAAAAACAATCAAGTATACATTAATTCGAATGTGAAGATACATTATGAACGCATATAGTGCACATGTGCAATTTTGTCATCTAATCATATGCATTACTTTCAACGCCAAGGAGCATTATGATTGGAATTAATTAAGACCGATGCATCAATACAATGTGCATGTTACCTGGGTACATTCTTTTTCTCTTTTTATGTAAGTTTTACCCTATATATACATACATATATATACATACATTAACATAAGAATTGAGAACAAGTCTGAACCATCGAAATAACAAATTGTGTTGAGAAGATCGAATCATTAACCTAGGGCAATTTTGTAACATTCTTTTGTCTTTCTTTTTTGTAACTGACATTTGCACTTAATACGTGCATTTCAATTTAGGAAAGGAATGACTAAATTCCATATCCTTTGAAATTAAATATTGTTGTTCAATTTTGACTTTAATTCTCTTCTCCATTTATAGAAATTTTTGCATTCTTGGAATGCAAGTATAGTTAGTTCATACGTAGTACAAAATAAAAGGAAGGAGAATTGCTCTCACTCTTGTTTATTTCTTCATATTGGTTTTCATTTTCTTAATCACTAGCTACTACATCAATTTTATATTTCTCAAATGTAATTATCAAACAATGATGTTGTACACTTGATTTTTCACTTTATGCACAATGAATGACTATCAGTTGCATTATCATGTTTATCATACGTTCAACATACTTTACATCTTAACATTTGCATATATTTCTCACACATATGCATCCATAAAATCCACTACTTCACTATTGTGTCACTCGATTGCACTATTTGGGGTTGTGTGTTTGATACCGGTTCTTGTGAATGATGTATTTGTTGTAAATAATCGCATCACTAATTTGAAATAATCTAAGGATTTACTAATGCACAACTATAATTAAATGGCTTCCATATGTTCAACACACTTTACGTCTTAGCATTTGTATATTTTGCTCACGCATATGTATCTGTGTATACACTACTGCACATTTAGAGGCAAAAATGGTTGTGGCATTTTGAATAGTAATAAAAAACAATTAAATATGCATTAATTCGAATGTGAAGATACATTATGAACGCATATAGTGCACATGAGAAATTTTGTCATCCAATCATATACATTACTTTCAATGCGAAGGAGCATTACGATTGGAATTTATTAAGACCGATGCATCAGTACGATGTGCATTTTGAGTTTTGCTAGAGGTATCCCATTTGGTACCTCATTTGTACACCCTTCCTATATTTGTGGTTCACAAAATTCCAACACATTAAATGAATTGCTCCACTTTATGGAAGTGCTTTTGTGAACAACAAATATAGGAAGGGGGTACAAAATGGGGTACAAATTCGGGTAACAATAGCATTTGTGGTGCATTTTACATGGGTACATTCTTTTTCTCTTTTTATGTAAGTTTTTCCCTATATATATATATATATATAGAGAGAGAGAGAGAGAGAGAGAGTACTATTTCAGTCCGACCAGGAATAGGCGAAAATGAATGTGCAGCACAAAAAGCAAGGCATAGTGATACTATGCGAAGCTGAATTGTACATTACAGGAAACTCAAATGTGCACTAGGTGAAAACTAAATTGTGCATAATAAAAACTACAATGCGGTGACATATTTGTGCATTTTATTCTTAACATTTCAATTTCACATAATGGACATTTGAGTTTAACTTTTCATTTTGCACATTTCAATTTCACGTAATGCAGATTACAGTTTGCACAATTCAATTTTACATAATACAATCCGAAGGTCCAAATTCATTCTCATTTCTCTCCTTGGAGTCCTTTTTGAGTGGAAACACTCCCCATATAGGTTTCAGATCAAATAAAAACCATCATGGACGTGAAAACTGCAAATCGTTCACATTTTCCCTAATAATGTGATGCACTTAAAGGGTGGTGTGTTACACTTTTTGAACTTTGGTTGAGCCATGCTAAATAATAAAAGATCTATGACATTTTTGTAAATAAGTCAAAATTTTCCTTATACTGTTGAGGACAATAATCTCTGCTTTGCCCCTATTATCAAAGATGAACTTAAAACTGTTCTTTTAACCTCTTTGTAAATCGTATTTGAGATGATTCAACGTGAAATCCAACTATTATATATAAGGCCCTAATAAATTACAAACACAATGCTCCCGGGAGTGATGGCTTTGATGGTTATTTCTACCATGTTGCCTATGATATTATTGAATATGACTTATTATCTAATGGTCACACTCTTATACTACCAACCTTCCATTTTAGTTATCTATCTTTGATGTTTCAGGTCAAAGAATGTAAGCTTTGATAAATTATTTTAACTAATATATTTATCCATAATTTAATAATTTTGTACTCTTATGATAACATTTTTACATATAACATTTTCATACTCCTTTCGTCCCGGATAGAACTTAACGTTTTTTTTGGCACGTTACTTTAGTAGCTCAATCAATAGAAGAACAAATGTCTTGCATGCCCTTTCACTTTTGGGGGGAATTAATGCTATCCACTCAAATGTAAAAAGTGAGTGGGTAGTGAAGGGTAGTTAGGACATTTAATATAAAAATGGTTGCCTACAAGGAAACGTAAAAGAGTAAATGAGATGTCCCAAAAACGAAAGTATAAAGATTTAAATGAGACCGAGGGAGTATCATTTTAATATTAATACTACTTCTGTATATAAATATATAACCTATCAAAGTTAAACACCATTGACTTTAAACGTCAAGTTTGACTAACTAAAATGGGACAGAGACAGTAGCTCTTATTCCAAAAGAAAAAAATGTGTATCAGTTTTCAAAATTCATGCCTATTGATCTTAGTAACTACATAAACAACATATTTACTAAGATAATTACTATCCAGATTGTCAAATTTTCCCCCAGAATTATTTGTGATGAACAATTTTGGGAAGAAGGCTTTTTTCACGGGTAAAAAAGCTTATAGAAGAAATAGCAAACCTAGTGATGTAACCTAGTGACATGTAAAGTGATGCAACACTTTTGAGTAATGCACATTTGTGATGCCCTCACTATTTATGTAAAGAAATGCACTACTCCTGAAAACTATGCCAAGTTTGACCGGCACGAAGATTAATAAAATTAAAACTATGTGGTTGAAGTTTGTGTAGAGGAGAGAGAATTAACTAGAATCATAAATTGTTTACTTAAAAGAGAGAGTGACAAAGTTAGTAGGACATCTAAAAAAGGAAAGTTGTCAAAATTTTAAAAGACGGGGGGAATTTCTTTTTCCATTATTTATAAGGGAAATTAATTATCTATCGCACATTTTTGCACTTCAAACCATATTGCCTGTCATATATACACCCGATAATTTTTTCATTTTAATTAAGTCAAATAAATATGATGTTCACATACTCCGTATATGCGTAGGAACATACCATGATACCAACAAATAAACTCTTGCATACGCCTTCATGAGTTTGTGCACATCCTCAATACTATGATTACTATCGCAACAACCGGCAACGATAAATGCATAGATCGTAGCATATAATTGAGCGAAAACGATCATGCATGCTACAGCGAACAAAAGCAGTATAATGCCTCCATTCACTTGGTCACTACAATCAGACGAACTCCGCACTTTTGTGTTGGCTGCATGCTTTACCTAATCCAGAGTAAAAACAACTAAATAATCAAATACGGAGTATTACATGTATGAAACACATTTGATAGATATACTCATATCAAAATACATCATTAATTTTTAATATTCGCTATTATACTCTTATAAAAAGGCATACTTTAAAGGACAATTAAAAAATTATGGAAATGTGGAGTAGGTAGATAGAGCATATAAATTTAATAATTTACAACTGTTATTCGATCTTGCTACCAATCAAATAACTCACTTTTATACGGAGTATTCGATTTTACTTAATAAAAATCAGAACACGTGAACTATATTTTTGCGGTTGAATATAACTATTTCTTCTACATATGCAAATTTTTAGTAATTAAAATTGATATAAATATCATCATAGAAAAATTAGTTTTATCATCAGCCAACCATTATATATTAATCCAACATAAACCTTACCAATGAGGTGTGCATACATGGTTAGGCGCGCGGGGAGTTCGAGATATGAATGTGAAAGCCCTGAAAGATTAAACTAGAGGAGCTTGGAATGTTAGCAGAGTGAGAGCTATATTCTCACCGGAGAAGAGCGAGAGAATTTTGAGTATTCTGATTAGGTTATATGATTTTATCGTCATATTTGGATGATGACATCGTGGATGGTGTTTTCTAGATGGTGTAAAAATGGACCACGAGAGGTACGCGCGGCAAAGGACTTCACAGTTGATAGAGATAGATCGACGATCGGTAAAAGAGATACAGTATTGGAATGGTAGAAGCATTGTCGATCTAAGTGACGGGTTTAGATCTGTGAAAGCCGAATTCCGACGACTCTGGATGGGATGGACCGCGATGTGGTCATTTAAAATTCCTCTGAAATTAAAAAATTTCTTTTGGCAATTGATGGATGAATCACTCCCAACTTCTGTTAATCTTAACAGGAGGGGAGTCAATGTATCTTTAATTTGCAGGTCCTGTGACAAGGGGGAGTTGGCAGTGCACATTTTCAGATATTGTGCGGCGGTTAGTGATGTGTGGTGAGAGGTGGGATGGGAGTAGCATATATAATCCGATGGATAGCTTTGAGGCATGGATCAAGACAAATTTGGTGGGGAGTGATACATCTCGGTGTGGTCGATTTATTGCAATTTTATGGAGTACAATATGGAGGAACAATATTGTCTTGAAAGATGAGAACCAGAGTAGTTTGGTAATAATGAGAAGTGAGAAGTGCAGACAGTATAATTGGGAGGCTGGCCAAAGGAAGCAACATGATGGGGATAAAAGAAGTCCTATGGGGGTGGCAAAGTGGCAAAAAGCGAGCAGGAGCTGTGAAAGTCAACATTGATGTTGCAGTAAATGAGGTGGATGGTGTTACATAAAAGATGTAACGTAACATTAAAAATGTAACATATCTATAAAAGTGTTACATATTTTCTTTAACGTAACACGTTTTAGACCTACTGTAACACTTTCTAGAAGTATAAGTGTTACATTAGGTACTATAAAGTGTTACAATATGTCAAATGCAACATGAACAAATGTAATGGTAAAAAAGTGTTACATTTTCTCTAATGTAACACTTTTCAGTGATAATGTAACACTTTTGGGTGATACATTAGGGGTTGAAATGTTGTACTTTTGGGTGATCCAGGCTTTGTACTGAATAGGGGCTGCATGACCATTTTTACTCCCTCTATACCTTAAAATTTTGTAATCTTTGAAGTTTTTTGGTCAACTATGTCAAACTTTTATCAATTACACTTTTCTAAAAGAAATTATTAGTCATATAAAAATGATATAAATATATTCTTTATTAAAAGTACTTTCACAAAAGTCTAAAATTATACTCCCTCCGTCCCTTAAAACTTTGCCAAGTTTGACCGGCACGAGGATTAATAAAGTAAAAACTGTGTGGTTGAGATTTGTGCAGGGGAGAAAATTAACCGGAACCACAAATTCTTTATTTTAAAGGGAAAGTGGCAAAGTTAGTGGGACATCCAAAAAAGGAAGTTGACAAAGTTTTAAGGGACGAAGAGAGTAAGTTGCATAATATTACACTAATCAATGTCATGCACGGAAAGTAGTAAAAGGAATTTTATCAATCTACAACCTGAAAGGTAGATGAAATATCAATCCGAGACCTCAAAGATAAAATGTATCAATATATGACCCGAATGATGAAAAATTATCAATTTAGGACATGAATGATTGAAAACTATCGGTGTAGGACCTAAGTTGTCATGAGATTATTACTTTTTTATTTTAAAGTAATATCAATATTATTTAGCTTTATTAAATTAATAAACTTTTGTGAAGAAAAGTTACGTTTATCAAAACCTAGCAATGAAATTAATAAAAAGTAAACAAATCAAAACCTATGAAATGATAGGTCCTAGATTGATAGTTTTCCATCATTCGGGTCCTATACCGAAGGTCCTATACCGATACGTTTCATCTTTCGGATCCCGGATTGATATTTCATCATCTTTCAGGTCCTGAATTGATAGAATTTGAAGTAAAAAATGACAAAGTATTAGATTAATTAAATTGGGCCTCCCTAATTGTAAATATGTGCTAAGGGCTCTACTTAACCTCTTGTTATCATATGTATATATAGGGGCTTAGGCTAATTGGAAAAGGGGACTGATTTTGACCAATTAATAAAATATTTACTTCCTAATTTGTTATGGTATCAAAGCCATCTGCGTCGCATCTGTGACCTCCGCGGAAAGCACCGGCGTGCCAGAAGCAGAGACTCACCATGAGCGATCCAACCTCCGTTTATTATTTGGGTTCCGGCGATCAACCAGGTAATCAAATTACTCATGTCATCTTTAAAGGGGACAACTATGTGGCGTGGTCTCGGGCGATTGCATTAGCGCTCAAAGCTCGCCGGAAATTTGTGTTTGTCAACGGAGCAGAGGCAAAGCCGACCGCCGCAGCACAACTATCTAACTGGGAAACAGTGAACTCGATGGTTGTTTCGTGGTTGCTGCGATGTATGGACCCGGCGTTAGCAGCCTCGATCCCGTTCCATGACGAAGCACGAGCGCTGTGGTTGTATCTGGAAAATCGATTCAGCGTTGCCAACGGCCCGAGGCTGCAACAGCTTCGTTCCTCTATCACAAACTGCCGGCAGACAAAAGGAATGACAGTGGACGGATACTACACGACGTTGATGTGTGTACTTGTGGCCATTGTACCTGTGGACTTGCTGCAAAGTTTGCGGCCGATAGAGATGAAGAAAAATGGCATCAATTCTTAATCGGAATTGATGATGAAGTATACGGGATGGTTCGGTCCAATCTGCTCTCCCATACTCCGTTGCCAGACTTGAATAGGGCTTATCAAGCCTTCATACAAGAAGAAAACTCGCGGGCAGTAGCACGAGGAAAGGCCATTGAACTTGGTGCCCAGGCATTTGCACTACAAGCTGACCGGAAAGCCAAAGGGAAAGAAGAGAAAGTAGACCGAACTAAACTGATGTGTACCCACTGCAAGAAGAAAGGACACGATGTCGGGTCCTGCTTCAAGTTGTTGGGTTATCCAGAATGGTGGGAGGATCGGAACCGGTCAAGTAATGCTGCTGCTGGCCGCGGAGGGGGGGGGGGGGGGTCAGGACGCATGCCGTTACCACAACCGGTGAAGGTTCATCTTCTGCGGCTGGGGTGACCGGACTGCCTTCGTTAAACCAAGAGCAGGTTCAAGCTTTGCTTAGTTTAATTGATGCTGAAACTCGTTCATCTGATCGTATGGCGGGTAAGTATGATTGGATTATTGATACAGGGGCATCCCATCACGTTACAGGTGATATTACTTGTTTGACTAATAGAACCCGTACTTGTACACGTATGGTGGGACTGCCAGACGGGCGAGCAGTTGCGGCTGTCTTGGAGGGCCGTGTTTGTGTTTATGAACAATTCATTTTGGAACATGTACTTTATGTGCCAGGATTAAAGTGTCATTTAATCTCGGTATCACAACTGATTGATCAATCTACTTGTTTAGTTACTTTCACTGATTCGTTTTGTGCCATACAGGACCGTCACTCGAGGAGCCTGATTGGAGCCGGTGAGAGACGAGATGGGCTTTATTATTTCCGGAAGGTTCCTATGTTGCATGTTGTCCACACGTCAGAATTGCCTGAGTTCGAACTGTGGCATCGACGCTTGGGGCACCCGTCTGATCGTGTGATTAAATTATTGCCTATTATTAGTACTACTTCTACCAAACGTTTGAATAAACCTTGTGAGGTGTGTCCACAAGCCAAGCAAGTGCGTGATTCTTTTCCTATCAGTAGTAATAAAACAAGTAGAATTTTGGAACTTATTCACTGTGATTTGTGGGGTCCTTATAAAATCCCTTCTACTTGTGATGCCGTTTATTTTATGACATTGGTTGATGATTATTCTCGGGCTGTGTGGGTGTATTTGCTGCGTGACAAAAGGGAAGTTTATCGGTCGTTCCTTACTTATATTGCCACTGTTGAAAAACAATTTGACGTGTCTGTTAAAATTGTACGTAGTGTTAATGGCACCGAATTCAGATGTCTTTTGCCATATTTTGAGGACCATGGCATTATGTTTCAGACATCTTGCGTTCATACCCCTCAACAAAATGGCCGGGTGGAACGTAAGCATCGTCATATTTTGAACGTGGCCCGCGCACTGATGTTTCAGGCAAATATTCCTATTTTATTGTGGGGTGAGTGTGTACTCACAGCGGTGCATCTTATTAATCGTACACCCTCAGGTATTCTACAAGGGAAAACACCCTATGAGGTGCTTACCGGCAAAGCACCTGATTTTCATCAGCTCCGGGTGTTTGGGTGTTTAGCCTTTGCTCGAAACACAAATACAGGTGGTGATAAATTTTCCTCTCGTAGCCGGAAATGTGTTTTTATTGGATATCCTACCGGCAAGAAAGGGTGGAAAATGTATGACCATGATACGGGAGATATTTTTGCCTCACGTGATGTACAGTTTCATGAAGATGTTTTTCCATTCTCAGAGGTCTCTAAGGTCTCTCCCTCTGTCACGGAACCTGCTGCACCTATTGTTGTTGATGATGTTACTCCAGAACATTCTGCCAATGAGACGACTCATGATACAGGCTCTAGTTCGGCCGTGGCAACGTCTGACATCACTTCTCTTGGCCGTGGTATGCGGTCTAAGCGACCATCAGTATTACTTCGAGATTATGTTGCTCACTTAAGCCCATCTCCGTCCTCGCTCTCCGACAGCTCTTCAGGTACGCGATATCCTCTTAGCCATTACGTTTCCTGTGATAAGTATTCTGTTTGTCACCGCATATTTCTTGGAGCTATTCTTGCAGGAAATGAACCCCGTTCCTTCAAGGAAGCTATGACTGATGATGGCTGGCGTTCCGCCATGAAAAATGAAATCCAAGCTCTTGAAAATAATCACACATGGGACATGGTGCCACTTCCCCATGACAAAAAGGCCTTAGGATGTAAATGGGTCTACAAAATTAAATATAAATCTGATGGCACCATTGAACGTCTCAAGGCACGGTTGGTTGTCTTTGGGAATCATCAGGAGGCAGGTATCGATTATACAGAAACATTTGCTCCCGTGGCCAAAATGGTGACAGTCCGATTACTTTTGGTTGTTGCCCCTGCTCGCAACTGGGAGATACATCAGATGGATGTCCATAATGCCTTTCTCCATGGCGACCTGGCTGAGGAGGTCTACATGCGTCCTCCACCAGGATTTTCTTCATCTCAACGTGGGCTGGTTTGTCGTCTGCGCAAGTCTTTATATGGTCTTCGTCAGGCCCCGCGGTGTTGGTTTGCTAAACTGGCCACCGCGCTTAAACAGTACGGCTTTCTCCAATCCTATTCTGATTATTCCTTGTTTACTTTGCGCAAAGATGATGTGCGGATACATGTGCTTATATACGTGGACGATCTGATTATTGCGGGAAATAATTCTGCGGCTTTGTCTCAATTTAAAATTTATTTGCACTCCTGTTTTCACATGAAAGATCTCGGGGTTCTTAAATATTTTCATGGCATTGAAGTAGCCCGAGGAGCTGATGGAATTTTTCTTTGTCAACGCAAATATATATTGGATATTATATCTGAGGCAGGTCTTCTTGGAGCTAAGCCCTCTTCCTTTCCCATGGAACAGAATCATTCTTTGGGCCTTGCTACGGGTGACTTATTGGCTGATCCGGAATCCTATCGACGTCTTGTTGGTCGTCTAATATATTTATCTTTTACTCGGCCGGATCTGGCATATTCCGTACATATTTTATCTCAGTTTATGCAGGCCCCGCTACGAGAACACTGGGGTGCGGCTCTACGAGTTGTCAGATATCTCAAAGGCTCTCCCGGACAAGGAATTCTTTTGAGGTCCTCCTCTAATTTGGTTCTATCAGGCTGGTGTGATTCTGATTGGGCTAGCTGTCCGCTTACTAGACGATCTCTGTCTGGATGGTTAGTTTTTCTTGGAGGCTCCCCTGTTTCCTGGAAGACCAAGAAACAACACACTGTGTCTCGATCTTCCACTGAAGCTGAATATCGCTCGATGGCGGCCATTACTGCAGAATTAAAGTGGGTGAAAGGTCTTCTTCTCACCCTCGGTGTTGCTCATCTGAGGCCCATTCCCTTACACTGTGACAGTCGTTCTGCTCTGCATATCGCACATAATCCTGTATTCCATGAACGCACCAAGCACATTGAAGTGGATTGTCATTATGTCCGTGACGCACTGCAAGCAGGGATGATCTCGGCCCAACATGTCTCTACTACTGATCAGTTAGCAAACATCTTTACGAAGGCACTCAGACAACGACAATTTAGTCATTTACGGCGCAAGTTGGGCATGTTTGATCCCCATGCTCCAACTTGAGGGGGGGTATTAGATTAATTAAATTGGGCCTCCCTAATTGTAAATATGGGCTAAGGGCTCTACTTAACCTCTTGTTATCATATGTATATATAGGGGCTTAGGCTAATTGGAAAAGGAGACTGATTTTGACTAATTAATAAAATATTTACTTCCTAATTTGTTACAAAGTTTTAAGAAACAATGTAGTAGAAGTTTTTCATATGTCACCTCTTTGATATTAAATTCAACATTTAAAATGCTCGAGTTATACTTATGTTCAATGAGAGAAAGCGTCATTCCCTAAATAGGACTAAATAAATCATTAATTGCTAAAATAGGTGTCAAATTTAAATTTTCCCAAATAGGAGCTATTTTTCGGAGTTGGACAGAAATACCCTCAAGCTTGGCAAAACAGGACACCGGACCTCCACCCGTTGCAGGCCGCCGGAGCCGCCACAGAATTGGCTGCCGATTCCATCTGGCCATCGTCATCGTAGATCTGGCTGCCGACGCCGTAGATCTAGTCACTGCCACCGTAAAACTGATTGTTGCCGCCGATCTGGCCGCCACATTTGCGGATCCAGCCTCCGCCGGTGCAGATTTGGCATTCGCCATCACTAATGCCAACCAGTGGTGGATCTACAACTCAAGCTGTGGGTGTTCATTTTTTTCTAAAAATAAAATTTGAAAAGACAATAAATAATTAAACTAAATTGATACATGTATACTAACATATTTTTCAAAATTCTAGGTGTTCATGTGAACACCCTTGAACTAATGTGGCTCTGCCACTGATGCCAACATTATTATTTCATTTATTTGAATGCCAAAATGAATCCTAATGGCAGTTTTGAAAGAAACAATGACATTTTTGAAGAATAAAAATGTCATTGACATTTTTTAAATAAAATTTGGCATTTTTTTAAAATTCAAACATAATGAAGAAGATGAACATTGAGTGTTTGTCATCGTTGAGTGTATATGAACTGACGAAGAGAAAGAAAGAGAGAAACGAAATAGAGAGAAGAGATTGAGGAAGACGAACAAGAAGCAAGAGACAGGGAGAACAACGAGCTTGAATTTCACAAATAGGTCTGAACTTAAGCTCATCGTTGGCCGCTGCACAACTCTTGCCGCCGTTCGTTGTCACTCTTTCAACCCTCGCCACTCGCTGCCGCTCATCACTAAACCTTCGCCGCTCGCTGCTAGCCGCTCTCCGCCGCTCACCGCTGCCAACCCATGCTTGCCTCTATTTCTCACATTGAAAGTGCCGATGTTGGACAGTTGCGCAAGTGTGTACAAAGAAGTCCGCAGGCGTGAGGGGAAAACAAGTAAGGGTGCTGCCCGATGAATTACATGCATGGAGGGGTAAATTGGGGAAGCGTATATCATACAACCGCCTATACGGCTGCCACCGTACAGCTGGTGGCAATTTTTTAATTTTAATAAAAATCATGGTTTCTCTTAAATGAGCATTTATGCAATTCTGATGAACATCGAGTCTGTTCTTTTGAATATTAGGAGTCTAACAATGAACATTAGTGATCTCCGTTTCATATCATTTAATTCAGTTTCTTTTTATTATTATTTTCGTTTATAAAAAATTCTTCAATTATGTTTAGAATCAATTTCAATTAATTTCAATATGTGAATATAATGTAGTATGATACGTTTGAAATGTGAAACATTTTAAAATGAGCATAAAGCAGTACCAAAGAAGCATACATAACTTACAGAATGAGTATGAAAAAATTCAAAAGCTCATTTGTTTATGCTCATTCATTTTGGGTGTTATACTCATTTGAGTTTAACATAAAACTCATTTCTAATGCGTGTAATATTAATTTGTGTGTGTTCATTTCTTTTAGATGTATACTCATTTGAGTTTAATATAAAACTAATTTGAGATCAATAGCACTAAGGATTCCTCAACAACCAAGTATACTCCCTTTGTCTCCGAAAATCACAAGGTCAAACAATAAAACTGAGTGAGAAAAAGAGAATATAAGGGGAAAGAAAGACAGGAGGAGAGGTAACGTAACTACGCAGGAGCAGGAGCCACTGCGTTTGTGCCGGAGGAGAAGGAGCTGGTGGTGAGAGGCTGCGACCAGCAGCGAGCTGAAGGAGAAGGGGTGAAAGTCGGCGACAGTTAGCTTGGTGCGAAATCAGATCGAAAAAGCAAGCTAAATCGGAGAAGTCTGGTGCGAAGCAGGAACGTAGAAGCCTGGTGTGAAGGTCAGGTTGAAGAAGCGCAACAATCAAGAAAAACCCTGGTTGTACCGTGCGCACGGTACAGCCGACTGTAGGATAGTATTTGCGGTAAATTGGGAGGGATAAATCGGTACAATAGTCCTATTTAGGGAATAGAAGTATAGTTACTCCCATTTAAGAATTTAAGCAAATTTTGATCCTATTTAGAACAAAAAAACGCATGAGAGAATTGTATAATCAGTAGATGTTATTTATGTGCAAACGCTTGGTTACGTTCAAATACGAGTATCATTAATAAAAGTGGGAAAACATTACTACGTATTAGTAAAGGTCCAATGGTCCTCCCGCTATCCTTTCCTTTTCTGCTGCCCTTTTTATTTCCAAATATTTTTACTTACAAGAAATTTCTATCTATTTCCCTCTTTCCATCGATCATTTGTTTTATTAAGTTCTGATTTTTTCGAATTACAGTCACATGCATGAAAAACTTCACAATTGGTTTGCATGCTTACATACAATTATTTTTTGTAGATAAAATTGTATTTGAAATTTTTATATTTTATTTACACACAAAAATAAAATTTTATTTGAATTATTTATTGTCTATGAGCAACATTGTTTTGCACAGATTCAAACAACTGCTTGTGAGAAAAATCTACCTGCAAAAATCATAATATATTCACATAAATAACTACTGTGTATGCATATAAAGAACATTATTTTTCACATAAGTCATGGGACTATGTGGTCATTAGTATTTTTCACACGAAAATTGATGTTTATAAAAACAGACATAAATTGCTTGCACACCTATATAAGTTACGTACTTAACGATTACATACATACCGAATCATATTGAGACTTTGCTGCAAAAATCTGTACAATTCCTGCTAAAACTTCACATAAGACGGTCCAATAAATAGGCTTTTTTCCAGAACACAACCATATCATGTTGGCCGCTCAATTCCAAGTGAACAAATGGGATTGTAATACACAACCACTCACTTATTACGATATATTACGTATATCACTAATATCAGGCCAATATCTTTGTTCATATGATCTTTAATTTGTTTATTTATAGGCAAAAATAAGTAGGGAGAAAACAAGGGTGGGCACTGGGCATAACCTACTTTATAATGATGATTGTTGTGTAACACCGGTCAGAAAATAAAAAATGTCATGGGTAGTGTTTAATCATTAGGTAATGCTCCTTTAAGAAAATTAGGAATCTATAAAGTAAGTTTAATAATGCCCTACCTTACACATGTGTCATGTCATGCATGACCTGTGTATTGTAATTTTTTTTGGGAAAAACATAAGTATCGTATTTAATCTATGTTCTAAAAATCGTTCAAGGCGCCCGATTAGTCCCTGCCTAAGCAGTAGGCAGTGGTCGGGCTCCCCAATTTTCTATAAGGAATTTTCTATAACGTTCTCTCTTAATGAACTGGAATAAGATGATGGAAATCATATTGTCTTGTTTTTTAGTCACATATTATTGTCCTATTAAAAAGGAAAAACTCAATAGGTAATAGCAAAAAATTGAGAAAAATTTCAAGGAGAAATAGAAAGAAACATGGTGACGTCAAGCGAAAAATTGATAAAAACTTCAAGGAGAACACAAAAAAGGGTCGACCCGGGGCATGACTGCCTAGCCTAACCGCACAGGCCTAGAATTTTGAAGGGCCAAAAAAAATAGTATTATAACCCAGCCCAGATTCTAACTTCATTCATGCGCCCATGTTCCAATTACTTCAACCTGCGCCCAACTTCATATCTACGCCTGACTCCCATTATCGCCCATCCGCCCAAGTGATCACCGACCACGCACTTGACGACTTGTCACGGAAATCAAAAGAAGGACGAAGAAGGATAGGATAGATCATCGCCCATCCGACAAGGACTTGTCACTTGAGTCTTGACCACTTAATTGGCCGCTGCTCTGGAGTGAAGCCGCGCCGTGAACTCGTGAAGGACGGAAGGAGGACGATGAAGGACTGAGGTTGACCTCCACCACCAAGCACCTACGCCAGGCCGCCACTACTCCACCGTGTCCCGCCAGCCCCGCCTCAGCACTAAGTGCTCGTAAAGTGATGTCAGCGCTGAGTGCCGACTTCACTTTACGAGCATGTCATCATGGCAGCGCTGGTGATCAGCGCTGACTGCTCGGTCGTAACATTCATATCTTATCATTTCTAAATATTTCTATCATACCCTCAATAATTTTGAAAAAAATAATTTTTTATACATAGTATATCCTTCATTCCAGCACATTATTTCATTATCTTCAATCATATCCTCAATAATTTATATATCATTTTGCACTATTTTTAATGTCACATACTCTTAAACGGGAAGATATAAATGTTACTAAGGTAATAATTAATTCCCAAATGGATAACAACTGTTAGATGTTTTCTTCCTGCTTTTTTTAAGAGTTAATTATCAAAATAAAACTAAAAGATGCTTAAAAAACACAAATGAGAATATCATATTTTAAATTCTTAAAATAAGACTAATCATGTGTGTTTGAGAAAATATACCAATGTATTGTTTAGAATAAAATAAATATTTAATAAAATTAATCAAAATAAAAAATTAGAAAAACAAAATTAGATTAAAAAAACTTAAAAAATTAAAAAAAAAACGAGAAAAAAGCCTTTTCCGCTCCCTCTGTCACCCCCGCACGACCAGCTCCGATCATCGGAAAAAAAAATCAACAGGCATTAGTATGCCATATTTTTGGCAGATTCAGTGAAAATTTTAGCATTATCAAAAAATAACAATATCATTTGCTTGGCATTTTCAAAAAAAATGGCATCTTTTATACGAAATAACATTTTGTTATCAATAATAGGTGGTGTTAGTGCTGGGAGGCGGTGGGAAACACAGTCATATTTTTTTAATTTTTTATGTGTTTTTAATATTCTTTATTAATTTTTTAAAATTTTTATTTACAAAAAATCTTTTTTGTTTATTTTATAATTTTTTTTTTATTTTTATGATTTTCATACGAATTTTATTATTTGTGACAATCTTATCATAAATTAAACCATTTTATTATGAACTAATACTAGTTGAAAATGATAGAGGTTTTAGTCCTATTGGTGAAATTAAGTTTTCATTTAGTCCTATTTAGGACAATTACTATTTGTTAATTTCTTCCTTTATATGAATAACTTTTAACTTTAGACCAAAATTTAAAACCTGCTAAGTCTAAAATAATAGTCAAATGACAACTTGATTCCAAATATCTCTCCCTCTTTCACGAGTACTTGGTAATATTTTAGATTTTTTAAATTAGTTAATAGATATTGAATGTCTTGCAGCACCATTGGCTTGCCGACCATCCAGCTTGGCCATTGATTGTCGGTCGTCTATGGCCGTCATCGTTTGTCTGTCTTCTGGCATCGCCGTAATTGCTTGAGTGGTGTTTAATCATTAGGTAATGCTCCTTTAAGCAAATTAGGAATCTGTAAATTAAAGTAAGTTTAATAACGCCCTAGCTTACACATCTCATTACATACATATTGTAATTTTTTTTGGCAAAACGTACATATTGCAATTAATTAAATAAATGTATAAAATGATTACTTCTTCTCTAATCTCTACCGTTCTTTTTCTTTAAAACGTTGTAGAAAAACTTTTAACTTTAGACCCAAATATTCCGGGTACAAAAACGTACAAATTCCACTCACTTTAAATTAAATCAATCAACTTTTAATTTTTCTGACAGATTCCCTGTCACTTCGGGAATCAATAATTCTACACAACATTCAATTTTTTTTCAACCACTTATTATTCGAAATAATTTCAACCACTTCTCCCAACCACTTGCACCCACCTAAACCCACTCCCAACTATCAATAATTTTGATCTAAAAAAAAATATTCCGGGTACAAAAGTGTACAAATTCCACTCACTTTAAATTAAATCAATCAACTTTTAATTTTTCTGACAGATTCTCTGTCACTTCGGGAATCAATAATTCTACACAAATACTTGCACCCAAATACTCATAACTACTATTATTAAAGAAATTACACACACCTTTCCTACGAAGTACTAATTTTTTTTTACTATAAAAGGCTAATCACTTGCACCCAAATCCTCAGTCACCATATTCTTGCTATCTATTATCACCTTAGAGTTCCTAGCTATCTATCATCAACTCCCTATATTTCCTACGATATTACTTACCATATACAAAAAAATGGCAACTGAGCATAAAACTCCAGTTTGTGTCCACTGGAATGGTTCTATTATTATGAAAGATGATGAAGTTGAGTATTCCATTCCTCCGAGCGCAGCGCTGTTAATCAGCAATGACGGTGACTTTAACGCTATAAACGAGCGGATTGTCGAAGAGTGTGCGCAGAGAGGTTTTGGAGAAATTGTATCCATTCACGGAAAATTACCGAAGTACAAAAATCGTGTGTATGTGGCATCAAGACTGTGGCCCATCCATGATGATGATACTTGGAAGCACTTTTTCCGACTTGCTGAAAGAGAGTATGGAGAATTACATATTTTCCTGGATGCCCGAAGAACCTCTATAGTCCACCCACAAATATCAACATATGGAGGAGGTGACACCCACAATTGTGAAACCTTTCACAATATCCACTCCAACGATGACGGACCATCAACGAGATACGGCGGACGCTACAACCCGCATACTGTTGAACATGAAGATGGCCCTTCAATAGCATATGAAGAGGAAGAGGAAGATGATCCAGATTATGAACAATTTTCTGGAAATGACGATGCAACAACAAATTCTGACGATAGTGATGACGCTCATGACACAACATGGGCCGATATTGAGCTGGAACAACCATATGTTGAACCAGCGAATCGTGATAATGAAACTATTGCGGTCGACAAAATATACGATTCATACGACTTACTGAAAGAAGCCGTAGCAATAGAAAATATTCAGCAATTTCGAATTTTTAAGACAGATGACAAACGTGTGAGATCGTGGAAGGCAGTTTGCATCTATGATGACATGTGTATGTGGCACATTCAGGCGGGAAACCTTCTCAACACCAATTTGTGGAAGGTGAAAAAATATCAACCACTACACAACTGCAGAGTGGATTATAAAAGAGCTCGTAATGACAGGCTTATGACGAGCAAGATCATAGCGAGTGTAAACGCTACAAAAGTGCATGTTGATCCGGACTACAACATTAAACTCGTGATGCAAGACATATACGACAAATTCAGAATCAATGTCAAGTACAAAAAGGCGTGGTATGGACGTTTGATTGCCCTTGAACGAATATTCGGGAACTGGGAGGCGGCCTACAATGATTTACCCAATTTGTTGTTTGCGATAAGAGAATCAAATCCGGGGTCAGTGGTAGATTTCCAACCAAAACCAACCAGTCATGATGGTACGTATGAATTTCATCGTGCATTTTGGGCTTTTAAAGCTTCCATTGATGGGTTTGAACACTGTCTGCCCGTAGTATCTGTTGACGGTACTCACTTGTACGGAAAGTTCAAGGGTCATCTCTTGGTTGCAGTCGCCATGAATGCTAACCGTGAGATTTTCCCTCTCGCGTACGCAGTTGTGGAAAGTGAAAACACAAATAGTTGGTCCTGGTTTTTGGAACACATTATGACTTATGTTGTCAGACCAAATCGGCATGTGTGCATAATATCAGATCGACACCCTGGCATCCTAAGTGCCTATCGATCAGTACCTCAATTGAAAACCTCCCAAGTTTCGAAGCGGTTCTGCCTCCGACACATTAGAAGCAATTTCATGACAAAATTCAGGAGCACTGAACTGAAAAAGCTCTGTTGGCAGGCCGGGAGTACACCCATGGTGAGTGAATTTTACCAAACAATGGCTCAAATCCGTGCTACGAATGAGAATGCGTTCACGTATTTCAACGCTATTCCACGTGAAAATTGGGCACTGTGCTTCGACGATGGACGACGTTACGGCATCCTCACAACAAATCTTTCTGAGAGCTTCAATAACGTTCTAAAGGGATGTCGAACACTTCCAATCACCGCGCTGGTTAAGGCTACTTATAACAAAGTTGTCCAACTATTTGCCG